TAATAACAAAAAACAAGTAATAATAGTACAATAGTAATACAAAGCAAGCGATACACTGTACAATTGCTCACCACCCAACGAACAATGCCCAGCCTGTCCCCCAAGCAGCGATCGTTACCCCTCCCCCGGCCAACTTGCCCAGCTTTATATACTGAGCATGACGTCACATGGTATGGCATAGCCCTTTGGCCAGTCTGGGTCAGCTGTCCTGGCTGTGCCCCCTCCCAGCTCCTTGTGCACCCAGGGGGAGCAGGGGAAGCTGAAGAGTCCTTGACCAGTGTGAGCGCCACTTAGCAACTGCTTAGCGAGAACAAAACATCAGTGTATCATTGACATTGTTCTCATCCTAAACCCAAAACACAGCCCCATACCGGCTACCAAGAAGAAAATTAACTATCTCAGCTGAAACCAGGACAAGCACTTAAAATTAACATCTTCAGGAGAAAAATTCCAGGCAAACCCTTCAGGAGTAAAGCCCTCAGCCCTGTATTACATAAACTCTCAGGACTAATACACAAACATCCTCTGCAGAGTCTGAGAAACAGCTTGCACAGATTGAGTCCGTAATCTGGATGACTGGTTTATCTACTTGCTTTATACCTTTCTAAAGGTAACCTTGTTCTCGGTTACCTTATTACATGTTTATAACTTGATAAACACAGCATCAGAATCAGCCCCTTAGTTTACCAGCTATCCAGGCTGAATATCTTAGATAAACAATGAGATTTAACTCATACCGTCTTCAAATTTCATAGAATCATAGAATCGGTTCACTACAGCCTTCTCCCACTCCTTCAACAATGCCTTGTCCCTGATTTTGTGCAAGTTGTCCTCAGACAACTAATGCCCTTAAGTATTTCCAGGGACAGTACTTTTATTCATTTCGGTCAAAAGAGGTTTCTTTTCTAGTCACACAGTGTGATATAAGGAAACAAGGAGAGGGAAAGGGTGCTGGGATGACTGCTTTTAAATCAGGTGGCCATTAAGGCTTATCCACAAGAGAAAAAACTGAGTCCTGGCAGAACGAAGACAGCACAGGTGAAAGCAGCTCTCTGCAGATCCGAAGAAAAAGGAGAAGTAAGGTAACAGAAACTTTAGCACAGCCCTTCAAGCAAAAACCCTGAGAAGGCTAGGTAAGAAGATTGCTATTGCTGAACCAGCCAAAACTGAAGCGGAGAGGTCACAGATGTCAAATCACACACACAGGATTTGGAGAGAAGGCCCCTGGGGATGCAAGCATGTGCCTAGCAGAGAGGATTTAGAACACTAAAAATCAAAAAAATTTCCAAGAGTAAAGAGAAAACAGAAGTAGGAAATATTATACAGCCTTCTAACCTTGTATTAGTATTTTACTGTTCAGAGAAAACAGCAAGTATTTTAGAAATCCTCCTGCAAAGTCTCAGATTATTTGCTGGAATGATCAGCATCCACAACAGCAAGAATTATAAAGTGAACACCCACAAAAAGAATGCATTGGGAAATTTTCAAGAGTCTGGACAGAAGATAGAGAGTGAAAGTTCAGCACAGGTCTTGTGGGCCTGGTAAGCTTCTAGACCAATCTTAAAGAGGAAAAAATAGGGACAGAATTGCAATGAGCCTTTCAGCAAAGTGTCTCTAAAAACCTTGTATTAAACTGTTCACACTCAGATAACTGGCTTCTGTGGTATTGATACAAAAATTCACGGATGCTTCTCCTCACAGCCTGAATCCCCCCAAGGGAGAAACGGAGTATGCAGAGAGTCCCTGAAATGAAACTCAATAGCAACGAAGTTACTATTAAGCAGGTATCCTTTATTGCAGCGCTGGGCAGCACTGGGGATTCTCCACCATAAATGCTCCACCGATTTGGTGGACTTTCAGAGATTTTATACTATAAAATCCTACATATTCACAGGATTTCCGAGAAATCATTTACATAAACACGAGATTTTCTGGAACTTATTAACATATGCAAATGTCCGATCCGCATGTGCAGTCATCTCCCGTGGTGGTCTTCAGGTGGTCTTTGGGGGTCTTCAGATGAAGGCTCGTAGTCTTCTTCACTGTGTTCGCTGATTGACCTTTGCTTCTGCACAAACTCAGTCCTAGGATCACGTAAACGGTGTCCTTCAAGGCTGTTGTCATTCTGTTGTGACTTTTTATCTTCCGTGCATTTGTTCTCCCAAGGCCCAGTTGTCTGAGATGGGATTATCCCGGAGCCCCCTTATCTTACAACCATTCTAACTACTCCCTAAATCACAAAGGCCTTTCTTTTGTTTAGTTAAGTGACTAAGATGTTTAAATATACTCCTTGCCCCTAGGCTTTTCAGGAGGCATTTTGATGCAGTGGCTTTGTCTATCTTGGCTTTAACCCTTTCAGTACTATTTGAACTCTCTACTCTTTCCATTCTTTCCCATTTCTTACTCCTTGAGAATTTTTCATTTTACAGCAGCAGAAAAGAAGTAGTGATGAACTGAACTTCAGAGCACCCCACATCCCTAATTCACACCCCAATATATAGCAGAGGCACAACAGTTCTCTGAAGAGCCTCTATACTCACAGCAGAAGCACCAGTTTTGGCTTTTTAAAATTGTTATACTTCCACAAAACTGTTTGTAATGTTTAACTTGGCACTGGACAAAAAAACCACAGGTTAGCCTTTTTTGTGGAATTCCCATACTTTATCTGTCAGAAATATGCACTACATACCCATTCTGCTTCAGGAATGCACAGGGGAAAAAAAGATGCATGTATCTTTTCTTTGTGTTTCTACAGGAATTCAGTACTTAAGAAGAAAAGACTGTTACTTACCTGCCTACTGACAATTTTCCTTTTCTCTGTGAATTCTTTCTATTTGGTGCTGACAAAATCACAAAGGACACAAAATGTAGTTACAAAGATGAGGAAGTTAAGCGTTAAAAGCGTAAACGCAGCTCATAAAAATGGGACTCGCCAGTTGTCTTTTCTTCTTTAAAACAAAGCTGACTAAGACGCCTTGACTTGCAAAAGTTCGTCTCAGGTCTGGTAGCTGCATCTTTTTAGGCAAGTCCACATGCAGGGTACCTGACCCTTGACTCCAAGGGTCTTGTACTGGTGCTTGCCAAAAGCATCCTTTCAAACAGGTGTATCCTCCCATGCACCACACTGTCAAGTCACATGGATTTGTGCTAAAGTTTCTGAAGAGAGATATAGCGCAGGTTTATGAGTGCTACACTGATTCCAGCAGTCCTAAGGAACAGTTCACATAGCAAGTTGATTGAACCAGTCTAAAACCCTTTGTGAAAGGGTGATTAGCCACACCCGTCTGAGACAGTCTGACTGTCCATGTTGTTTCCTGTTAATTCCAGCCAAGTGCAAGTAGAGACTATTGGATTGCATTTTTCAACCGTTAAAATGCAGTAGCAGGTCTCAGATGAGAATTCATTCACAGCAGAGCAGAGTTACCTGAGGCTTTATACATGCTTCTCAGTGTTGTGCAGACTGATTGCATGACAGTCACTCAGACCTAAGATGACCAGCAGGGGCTGGAGAACTTTTGAATGAGGAAGCAGACCTTCAGAAAGTTGGATTAGGTAGATAGCCATTCAAGCACCAGATGATTTAGTCAGGACAAGCCTAAGAGGCTGCTGCTCTCATTTAGAAGATGGCTATCTCAGACTGATAAAGAACCAGGAGCAACTAGATTAAGACTTGCCAGCCAACTGTGAGTACTGCGGCAGTAGAAGACAGAAGCTGTTGATACTGTGGTTTCACCATAGTTGGCAAATCCTGCTAATAGGGTTGAAAAACCTTTGAGAAGCTTTCAGGTGTTAATACTAGCCTTAGTTGATCACAAAAAAAAATCATAGGAATCAGTGTAATGACAATGATAAAATGCAAGATGGGAACATGTGATATTTCTCTACTGACTCCATGAAGGGATATAACAGGACCAAAGTCTTCTCTTAGCTCAGTATCATCTCTTTCAGGGGCCAACAGTGAGCACAAAGGAAAGAGAATGAGGTAAAGCAAGTATATTGCAATATTTCCTCAAAACACACTGTAGCCTCCATTAATTTGCAGCTCGCTGACAAATAAAACCACAGTAACGTCTGTGTACGAGAAGGAATTTTCTCCCATGAATTCTTTTAATCACTTTTGAACTCATGCAAACTTCCAGCAAGCAGAATATTCAATGACAAGGAATTCCACAGTTTAACTACATACTGCTTAAAATTTAAGTCTGTTTGCTTTAAACCTACCAGCTTCTGGGAGATGCCTAGATATTATTGTTCTCCCCAAAAAGCATGCTGAACGATGGGTAGACTACTATTTCAGGGATTCCTTGCTTATGCTATAAAGTCCTGGATTTTAAGCCACATTTAACCCCACACTTGGCTCGAGCTGCTACAGCCTCAAGGACCAACATACGCTCCTCTGCTTTCTCTCCTTCTCCAAGGTCTGCACAGCTAACCCTAAGGACCGTCTCTAACCTCCCTGAATTTCTTTCTATGTCCTAAATTTTCAGACAAAATTTTTATCAGTAGCAGTGGAAAAAAAAATGGGTAATTATTAACACGTCCTCCTAACTCCCTACAAGATTGTGCAAGGAAAAGTATAGGAAACTAAATACCACTAAAAAACCCCCACCCCATCACTGTGCCACCAATAATTCAACTGACCTACAAATTAACACTCCAGTGAAGGCATAATTAGGAAGTTTAACACATTTTGTTTTGGTTATTCTATCAGATCCCCCTCAGGCACAAATATTTTCACATTTAGTAGGAGAAAGTCAGAATCATACAGGCTTTATTTACATTTTTATTAAGTACCGATTTCCTAAACATCATTTATCCTATTTGTAAAGGGGTTACTTTAAGAATTTATAATAACTATGCAGTTAAACAAAAGCCTGCTTTACTCAAAATGAAAGATAACAGACAGCCTATTCACATAGTCAGGCTTTCCATTAAAAATATTGAATCTACATTCAGTGGAAAAATTATCTTGACATAGAACCAAAATATTCAGGATTTACCTTCCCATTCTGTTGGAAAGTCACCCATTTCATACTGATATGCTTGACGATTTATTGCTTCTACAAATCTTCTCTCTTGTATAATCTGCCCTATAGCAGAAAAAAGAAAGGCAGTTAAATATATATCTAGACAATATTTAAATTGCTGATTATGTTATTGTTTTGAAAGAACTGTACTTATTCACACAAGTGCAATGATGTCTACAGGGTAAAAATGAAGGATTAAAATACTGAGAAAATGACTACCACCTAGATGTCAATTTGAAATGCTATGTGTTTCAGTAACTTCAACAAAAGCTTGCATGTTCTACAGTTGACGTGGATTATTAATGACAGGTATATTTCAAACCAAGTTATCCACCTTAGTGTATCCCCTTCCCTTTGAGAATGCTTCTCTGAAGAACTGTCGATCAGTTTTCTATCAACTGTTTTTTCCTTCACCTGGATATCTTCCCCACCATTGCTGGTGAGGGATCAGAAACTTGATGCTATTCTCGAGTTAAAAAACAGCACTGGAAGTTCACTGGTTAGCTTTGCAAAGCCATCAGGCCACATGGTTTCCAACCACTAGCAACTGCTCTGTGCATGTGAGCCTTTTCACATATGCTTGCAAACTAAGTATTTTCTATGTTAGAAACCAAAAACCAGTAGGTAACTCTCTGATAGGGAACATCCAGTGTATTGAAAGGGGAGCCAGTGTGGAGAATCTGGATCTACATCCCACCCACAGGTTCTACTAGCCAAAGAGGAAGAATTAAGGTTCAGCTGGTGATGTAGCACACAGCAGACTGACTGTCAGATATCATGCCACTGTACAGAAAAAGAGTATTTTAATTTGCTTTTTAAATTAGCAGATACTGGAAAGAAGTGCAAGTTCCCCATCCCTCACAGGGAAAAAAACCTAACAACATTCCCCAGGCTTTTTCTCCCAGCTTTTTCCCTTCCTGGAAGGCTGAGATGGAGAAATTTGACATTTTGAGGAAACACAAAGAAATATCTGCATAAAATATTTTCTTTCATAATGATGTGATTAATGCAGTTCATTCCTTCAGTATGTGTTCAACAAGTATTTCAGATGAAGTTATTTTAAAAGTGATAGCAGTCAGGAGTTACAATTCACCCATCTCTGGTTAATAGCTAAACTGCATACTATTGTTCATTATTAAGTATTTAATACAGTAAAATAAGAACTTGTATAGAAATTGCAATTCCTTTTCTAAGTACCTTCTTTAGCTTTATAATATTTCTTTTTATTTTTAAGCAATGCAACATTTTCACTGTCTCAGATATGCCATCAGGCAAAGAAAATAGTGTAGCATACTTTCATCTCCAAGATTAGACATTTTTAATCAGTGTTGAAAGATATATGATTCATATTTATTTGTTTTGTAAGTATACAGTTCCCATATGCTGAAGATATTATACTTCATACACTTTCTTTAAAATAATTTCTTTTCAAGAATACCATGGATAATTCAATTTCTCAAACTTTTTATCCTCAAAGCAAAACAAAAATACAGAATTAATTTCTTCCCATACAGAAGATTTCCAGAAAAGCTAACGGCTGATCTAATTAGGTCTGATCCTATACAAGTCTCAGAACTAACACTCTTCTCCATTGCTGGAAAGTCACTAGATTTTACTGTTAGCACAGCACCTTTTAAAAAAATGTCCAGAATTTGAGTCCTGCACAGGTAGAATAGTCTGAGTAAACCGATATAAGCAAAAGTAACGAAGAAGTGTATTTTTCTACCTGCTACCATGACTTGTGATTGATGTTATACCTTTATGCATTCCCCCCAAAAAAGTTTTAAACTAATCTACTTTTAACAAAATACACTTTTTATTCTGTTGCAAGCTTTCATAAGACACATGTAAAAAATTCATTCTCCAGATCCCACAGTCAAATCACATTGTACAGCCAAACTCAGAAAATTATTTCCCGAAGATGTTATTTTGAAGAATCATCACACAGTGGTGCTGGTGGCTTTCAAGCCTCTCTGCATTTGTGATGCACACACAACACTAATTAACTTCAACTGTCTGATTTGCCTTGTCCCCTAGGTTTCTTTTGGCAGACCACCACTGAAAAATAATTTACACAGACTTTGCTATTGAAGATCACACTGAGGCCTCTTTAGATGTAATTAAAACCTTTTACAGTTTAGAGAAGTGTTTTTTCATACTAAAGATATTGACTATTTTGCTTTATAATGATTAATTCATTCCCATGTTTTCAAATAAGTACTGTGGTCTTTGCTAATGCAACTTAAGAAACTTCACTTGTAAGTGTATACATCTGAAGCAAATACAAATAGCAATGTAAGAACTACTATTTACAGTATTAACTTTAAAATTAATCTCATTTTCATGTGAATACGAGATCTTAGAAACATAGAAGGACCATTAATACTTCAAGTTGGGATTATATAAAACACAACATATCCAAAGAGTAACAGCCAATACCTCATAAAACATAAAGCAGATTACTTCAGAAAGAATTTAACAGATGTACAGAATACTCACACAGAATACTCAGATATAACATCATTTACACAAACCACTGAAGTAGCCAAGATTTGCAACTTTGCAGGAGTTACAAGCAGGCAAAATGGCCAAGAAGTCTAAGTAATAGACAGATCTTTCAGCAAGTGATACAGTATTTACACATTTTAGATTTATATACTTTCATACACAACATGTTTTCTCTAAGTCTTTCTGTCCCAGTCTATCTGAAAGTCAATGTGTGATGACTGAAGTTAATTTTTATAAAAGCCTGAAAACAAAAGTGTTTAACAGAAGTTAGGCAGCCTGCTGGCATGAGAAAGGCGTAGCCAAAGCCAGCAAGGAAAATAGTAAGTGAAATGTGAAGGAGTAGTAAATGACTTAATGAATTATGTGCTACATTTCTACAGCCCTATCTATAGACTATGAAGCCTAGAAACTAAGTTATATTTCCACAACAAAAACATGGTTAACTGTAGATATGTGCAGATGTTATAAAATGAATATTTTAATTTTTCCGTTTCTTCTAAGGAAGAGCCCCTCTTCTACTGACAAAACATCCTGGCTATTTCCACTGCAGTCACTAAATCTGATATATCCACATTTGCATTAAGTAAAACCTTCCAGATCAAAATAAAGTTAAATAATGAATAATCCCAAACTTGTGTTGTTCTATAACCAAGTTATTATTCTTCCCATATCAATTTCTTAAAACTATATATACATATATACTATTTTGAAGATCTCCAGCAGTCCTAGCTTGATTTTCACTGTTTACAAAATTGTCATTTGAAAAAGATTTCTCTGTTAACCTCCAAACAAGTTTGTCTAATGTGTGCAGCTAGAACAAACACACATGATCAGTGAGAGGAGAAACGGGACCTTCAATAGGGCATTTGATGTTTTTGGTACCTGAACTGAGCAAAAGCCCTTTCCAGCTATAAAATATCAGTATGTTTTGCAGTCAGCAGATGGAAACGGGATCGCCCTCTCACACACATGCATGCATGGAGCTACCACGTTAAAGCAACAATTCGCAATTCTCATTCAAACTGAATGAATCTCAGATGTTCATGAGAACTCAGGACCAGGACTCTTTTGGCTTGCTGATTTGCACTGTCTGCATGGTAAGAGTCCATGCAAGAAAAACTTTATTAATTACTTAGAGAAAAGAAATTTTTAAAAAATGCACAGACTGAATATGCAGCCTTTGTTAATTTAAGACAAATGGACTACATTTCAGTTGCACAACATTGCTGTACCGTTTATGATGAAACAAGCATTTTTAAAGCATACCTGTTTACTGAACTGGTATGTACTTAGAAGAGATTATATTGGACTTCATTTACTAACAGTGTGCTATTTCATCATCAGTAACACAACATAAACTTTATCGACGAGAAACAAAAGTTTCTAAAAATTTTTCCAGCAGTACCTCACAAAGCTCAACAAAATGGATCCCCCATTTCTTTCCTCTTGTCTGGCAACACCTCAACAAACTGTAGTTTTTGCTAAACATGAAGTGGTACTTAAGCCAGCAAAGCAACTGAACTATCACCAGTTCTTTGCACAAAGCAGGGAAAGAACTACCTCTCTAGAGGCAATAAAAAGTAGATTATTTCTCCATAGGCTACAGGAGGGACCCATCACCTTCAGAGCAAGATACAAAGTTCTCATCTCTACTGGAGGAGATGGGAAAAAAAGTTTGTTGTGAAGAAAGGGAAAAACAACCCTTTTAAAGGTGAATATTAATTTGTGCAAGCCTAGATCTCTCCTTTGCATAGATTTTTAGCTGAGGGACCCTGTTCATTGGTGACCGACTTCATGTTACCTCGTGGTCAGGATTCCAGTGTTTCTGCAATAATAAACTTCACCTTAGGAAAGACATCAGCATTTTACGATAATGCTTTTCTCCCAAAGAATTCTGACTATTTTTTTTAAATTTAGATTTCCATGAAGTTAATTAATTTTTGCTGAGTGACAAATTAGTAAGTTTCAATAGGTCATTATATCTATTCATACAATAAATACAGTAGTCTAAAATAAAATACAAAAGTTTAGTATTTGCACCTAACATCTATCACTTACGCATGTAGTTATATTTTCTCCAATAATTCATACGCTTGAAGTCATCTAAAACTCTTTATGCTTTATAAAATCATATTAGAAACTCATTTCAACTTTTAAGAGCAGCAAGTAAGGCCATAGGCTGCTTTGTTCTATGGTTCTGATTTCCATTAACCTCAAAAGAACCAGGATCAGTGATTTCCAGTTTTACAGTGATGCAGGATCAAGTGATATTAAACTTGGTAAGTGCTGAATCAGCAAGTCCAAAAAAGCTGTAAGTACCAGGCACTCAGGGTCAAAAATCATGCTTTGACAATGCCAGAGCCATAGCCATACCATCCTAGTATTATTTGTTATTTTGTATTAATTGCTGTTCCTACTATCCCACATTGTGTACCAAAAGAATTGTTCCCACCTTGCTCTGATTTTCTACAGCATTTACAGCTAATGTTCAATAAGGTAGAAACAGTTTGCCGTGTTTAATTCACTTGGTTAACAGATTCTGCCAATACAATTCA